TTGACTACTCCTGGAATGCCTGTTTTTGTTAAAATTTTGAAGGGGAGTCCTAAGGACAAAATCATGTCACTCTGTAGATTATAGAATTATCCTTTGAAAGTACAGACCTGATGTTACTACACGTGTCAGTTTTCATAGTGGCTTATACTGAAGTATTGACAGCTGACAACCAATAGCAAGACAGGAAACATGTGGATTTGGATTTAGTATTTATCATCAGTGTTTCCTTTTTATTCCTAATGCCAGATGGAATTCTCCATATCTAAAAATCTAATGCAGGAATGGCAAAATGTTGAGTCTTGTAAATGTGTGCTGGTGGAAACCTCACAAGTTCTATACTATAATACCAGTCTATTGCAGTTGGTGCGGGTTCCATCTGGATTTTTGCTATGCAATGCCCGAAAAAGTCATGATTCTTTCGAGCATTGCAGAGCGAAAATCAGGATGGTTTTGCACAACTCAATTCCTGGCATACAAATGCTCCTACAGGTGAAACACACGGGCAGTGCAGCACACCGGGCGGCCGGTTGAGCTGCACAGGCAGGGGAAAACTATTAGAGCCCTGAAAATAGCCTGTCCCAACCACAATAGACTGGATACCAGGCTAGACTTGCTTAGCCAGAAACACTCTGACCCACTTCCAGCTGCTGCCCAGAGCAACAGTCTTGTTTATACATTGCAGCTTTTCTAATGATTAGGTGTGCAGACTCAACAATGGCTGCTTCTAATTTCAAGTGGAAAGTAAACAATCTAGTTGACAGAAAACTTTTGTAACTGTTTACAGTAGCCTCTACTGGGGAACAGGTGGTAGGGAGTAATGGTCCATGCCTAAAGATTGGCTAATTATGAACAGTTCGAGTTGTTTGATATCATCTTCAAATCCATCCTGAGAGGAAAATTCTGTTTGCAGAGTCTAACTGTGGAACCCAGGTGGCCCCCAAACCTGTCAAAATTTATGACTGAGTGGAACAGCAGGACTTTCTGAAGCTGTGGAATGAACATACAAATACTCCCTGGTAGAGAGAGAGAGGATTTGGGTGGGGCGGGGGTTTGGCAGGACAATATACGTATTTCATTTTTGCAAATAAACCATAAGTCTAGTGACTTTGTATATTTTTGACAGACACTATTATGAACTCGCTGTTGTTGGTGTTGAAATAGAAAAATGCTTCTTTTGAAGATGAATACTGTGGTACAGTTGAAAATAGCAACCCAAATGTCTGTCAGTTATGGTCAGAGTGATTTTGGATGGACTGTTTGTCATGAAATTCAGGTTCACAGGCTCATTCTTCTTGATGCTGCACTGAGAACCACACAAAAATGGAGATTACTGTTCATACATGGAACAAACAGACTCAGCTCACACTCACCCATAATGAAGGAATTAAACAAACTGATTCTTCTGATCTGATCAGATTCTTGAAAACACCATGCTTTGTCCATGCATGGTCAATAGTGACAAAGCATAAAACTAGTTATATAGTTTTTGTAATTTTTACCTCCATTGGAGGTATTGTTTTTGGTACTGCAGCAGAAATTCTTTCTGTGCCTTTTGCTCTGAACATGCTATGGTTTTGACTTTTTGGTGAAGATTAAATCGTGTGGTTTCTGTCCCCCTAGCAGCTTGTTATGCAACTGCAGGGGAGTTCCTGACGGAATCTTTTAAAGTGGATAAGTCCAGAAAGGAACAACATATTTTCATCATTCTTGGTATGTAGGTAGCCTAGACAGAGATGAACATGATTAAATGCAAATCACGCAAATGAAGACTTAATTCTGTAATTACATTGTTTTACGTCATAATGGCGCTTTTTAATACCCAGAATTCTTTGAGTACATTGCGCAATCGGACATCAGACGACAAGGAGCAAGAAAATTGCCGATTTAAGGCTTTCTTCGTATTTTCTATACAAAGACTGACGCAATCAACTAACTTCAACTAAGTTAATCAGGTCCGTAAGATGAAAAATAGTTATGCTGCAATAACAGCCAAGGTCGCTAGAAGACTCTTTTTATGGCTGTCATTTATTGGGGGACAAATCGTTATTTTATGTGGCTATAATGTGAGTATTACATATATGAGTAAGGTACACGGAGAGATGTTTAAAGCGTGTTTGAAGGTCTACGATGTTCCTGATACATCATATTTACGTTTTAATAATGTTTTGATATCAAAGCGAAACTACGAAAACCACGCTCTACTTTCTCAGCTCTTGGTTCCCGTGCAGGAAGTAGCTCCAGTGCAGAACTGGCTGGGCTTCCAGTGCTGAGTCAGCACTGGAAAAGCTGACATCAGCACTGGAAACCGAGTGCTGATGAAATTTCTGTTCTGGAAACGGACTGAATACGGTCTCCCAGCAGTCCAGCCCTTTTCAGAGCCACCCAAACTTACTCACAAAAGGGCTAACGTTATATCTACACACAATCATACAATGAAAATCTTTCATGGTCAGAAATTCCTCATACTCGTTCGTTATCACTTACACGGTATACCCGTATCTTGTTGTTTACGAAAAATTTACGAAACAAGCTTAAAAAAGCTGGCCTTGGCCTCTAGAAGGAGCGGCGAAATATAACAACTCAATAAGTGTTTGCCCATAATTATTGGCATCAGATAAACCATCCTACAGTAAGAAAGGCCTAAAAGGAAAGACGTAACCATTGACAAACGTTATTTTTTTACATACACAAGTATTGTTTAATAAAGTACATATTTACAGAACACTTCAGTCATGTAAGGCCATATTGATTTGATTATATGGATGACATCCTCCGGTAACCCCAAAACTGATGCGCGCGTGCGAATAAAAAAAAAGTTTTGCAAAAAAAAAAAGTTATTTTCATTATGAAATCTACGTGGTCATGAGGGTTGAGCAAATGGCACAGAATATGGTTTGGCGAATAATCTAGTCTTCAAGTTCATTTCTTTACAATTTCGTCTTTTTTCGTTTGATTTCGGCATTCTACGACATTGGTATAGTTTTTACTTATTTTTTTTGTAACTTACGGTATATTTTTGCTCATTTTGCAACTGTTTTGTACGATTTACAGTATGGTTGAAAACTTTTTTTTTTTTGGAAACGGCCGAAAATTCATGCGCGCGCGGATGTCATCCATATAATCAAATCAACATGGCCTAAGTATGGATCAAGTCTTATAACAAGCGTTCAATCATTAACATAATTTATGCAATTGATTCATCTTGTCGATTACTAGTACTTCATGGAGTTAGAAGGGAGACTCCCTTGTAACTCCATGATTACCTCAATTGTAAAAATGTTTCTTGGGCATACAAAAACACAAAATACCGTCCTTAATTTTGTCATATAACCATAACCATAACATAATTATGATCTAGAAGGTAATGAAAAGTACACAATCATTCAGGGAAGCATTTATGCAAGGATCAACAGTGACATCTAGCGACATTTAGCAAAATGTCATTTAGCAGAATGTCATGTCTGAAGTCTGGTTCGCCCGCCCGCCCGTCTGGCGATCCGTCTGCCGTCGCTCCTAGCCTCCTTCGCAGACTTCTGATGCGGCGGCGCTAATTTTTTGCCTATTTTTAAGTGCAACAGTATAACGTATGATCTAAATACAAGTATTGTCTAGATAATCCTGAGGCTTTCTGGTAAGATAGATGCTCAAAACATTATGCTAGGACCAATTTTATGCCCAAAATAAAATTTACATTAAATCTATGTTATACTCTTGCACTTAAAAATTGGCAATTTTTAATAAGCCGTTAGGTACCTACGTTCTGACCAAAAGATTAGGTATGCTTGGCCGCGCAGTTCGGAGGGAAAGAAACTACCTCCCCGTGGCCGGAGTCCCTTGGCCAATTGTACCAAATTTTGCCGAATTCTACGATCCGTATTCCCGTAGAAAGGCGTGGTGGGGGCTAAAACAAGATGGTCAAGAAGGGTCCGTCTCGCCAATGGTGGGCAAACACTCCTTCAAAAGTCGGACCTCTTGGATCGATGTCGGAAGGATGCGGTAGACCAATGCGGTAGTCCACTAACCGTGGACCAATTATTTGCCCTTTTACCGTGACCTTTTACAGACCAATGATCAGAAGACGCGTTAGTAGACGACATTATTTCTTATGTGATGTGATTGAAATTGCACGGCCATACAATGTATGTAATGTCACTGTCGGACCACACAATGAACCACACAACGTTAACGTTCACATAAACTTCACAACAAATTACATTTCTGACAATTGATTGAAGCACAGACCAGTATATCGTTTAGGACATACTCTTATGTGTAAGCTTACACATACTGTGACTGTATTCAGCACATATAAAAATCAATGAGGTATATGAAACTACCTGTGTCGGCGGGGATTTGTAAATATTGCTCCTCAAATGCAGTGGAAGACGAAAAGCATTTCATCTTTAATTGTTCATTTTATGACGATACATGTATCAGAAAACAATTATTTTATACCACCGTGTCCAAAATGCTCCCTTATTCCACGAGAAAACAATTTTACTACTAAAACCCACACAATATAGAAGAAGTGGGTAAATTCGTCTTACATTGCCTCAAAAGAAAAAGTCAAACCCACCAAAACTAATACCATGTATGTTAGACGTAGTCCCACATACCATTGTATT